GGGCCTCACCAAACACATTTGCACGATTTTACAGCCTGGATGTAACAGCACCTTCGGTGGCTCATTCTGTACTTTCTGCAGGGTCCAAAGCTCTGCATTAGTACAGTATTTACTCAGACACACTACTTAACTCAGGTCTGATATTGCTCTGCGGGGCGCTTTGACAAGTCCCATATACAACTGTGTGTTGTACTGAGTGAAATGACTGAAAAGGAACGTAAGGTTATGAATATAACCACGGTTCCTTGAAGGAATGGAACGAAGTACAACACCTTGTTGGCCCTGCATCACAAAAGGCTCGGTGAAGGGCGGTATCTAACTGAGTAATGACGCTGGTGACTCCAAACTTATAGGGTGAAGGCGGAGCCTGTCACCCGACGTTCAACGTCACCARGTCACCGGTCTAAAGACGTGATTAGAGGTGGCTTCAACCAGGCACGYGAGGYCGCGCGTGTCCCATATACAACTGTGTGTTGTACTTCGTTCCATTCCTTCAAGGAACCATGGTTATATTCATAACCTTACYTTTTGGTTTACACATTGTTGAAACTGAACAAATATTATGGAATGAGATACATGCTTAAAAATAACACTGGCTTGAGCTTCTATAGCTCTATCAAGTTCCTATGGAGAGTTTTACATTTATAGTCATTCACACATTTACACACACATTCTGGTGATAAGCTACACTGTAGCCACAGCTGCCCTGGGGCACACAGACAGAGGTGGGGCTGCCATGCCCTGGTGCCACTGGCTCTCTGACCACCATCAGCAGACAAGGTGGGTGAAGTATACTGCCCAGGGACTCAACAATTGAGAAAAAATTGAATGGGGGATCAAACCAGCAACCCCCCAGTTACAAGACGACTGCCCTAAACACTCTGCTACAGCCGCCCCACTGTGAATGCTTTATAAGCATCGAAGAACAATGAACATTAGTGAAAGGGCTTGATGTGCTGAATTCTGATTGCTCTAAGTAATGATGATGATGATGATGATGATGATGTCATTCTACTGACGCCACAGTAAGTGTATCTATATGTACACAAAGACAGTGATGAGCTACTTGTCTTTGGCATCTGTGAATTACCAACAGGAACCGTTTAATTAGTCATTTTATTTTTAATTTTAGTGTGTTTTTATAACTATTTTATTTCTTCTTCTATTATTATTATTATTATTATTATTATTATTATTATTATTATTATTATTATTATTATTATAATTATTATTAACTGAGCCACCGCCACAAGAAGGGATTTTGATACGTGAAAAATGTGAAAAGGGTTGAAATTTTTAAAATGGATAATAGATTTCACTCACATCCAAAGCAGTAGCCCCATCTGCAGGTCTTTTCTGGGGAGTTATCGGTTCACTGGCTTGTTGAAAGGCACCAACTTGTTTCTTTGTGTCATTTAAGGAAGAACCACTCAAACGTTTTTTTCCTCGTAGAACAGGTACAGGCTGAGCTGGGGATTCTTTGCCTTGTTCCAAAAGCCTGTTAAGAGGCACAAATAAACAAAACAACATGTAAAATCTTTCTGTTTTTCTTGTTATTMTTACTTTTCAGATTGTGTCACTGATGAAACCACATACATTGACCAGATAACTAGACATCTGGGAAAAGTTACACAAAAGCAAAAAGAAAATGTAAAGACCAAATGTCTGTCATAAGTGCATTTCCTAATTTGATTTTTATTTTATTTTTTTACTAATCTTACCTTTGATTTTCTGAACAATCAGCAGCTACATTGACAGACACAAAGCCAAAGCCGAACTCTTCATCCTTCACTTCGCTACTTGGGCATATTTTCATTTCTTCAATGTCTTTTTTAGGCTCAATGTGCAGCCACTCATCCTGACGAGATGGAACAGTGATTGTACCAAACCTTTCTACATCTTGTTCCAGGAAATTTCCAATGTCATTGTTCTCCAATTTATTGGTAATAGATGGTTCATTTGTTAATGCCAAATATTGAAATGTTTGATCCTGAACCTCTGCGGTATCCTCCACGGTAAATACTTCTTGCATTGCTTCTAGCACTTCCATTTCCACCTGCAATGCATTGTCACCATGCATTGGAACCAAACCTCCTTTAGGGGTCACTTTAAGATGTAATGATGCTGAACGTTCCATGCAAGGGGCAGGTGTACGGCTCAGTTTCTCACCAATGCCTGCCACAGCTGTAGAAAATTTAGCCTGAAGATCAAAGAGTGGTTCACTTTGTTCTACTACTGATAACTGATCAGATGTTGATAGAACTGACAAGAAAGCACGTTCCTCTGTTTGTACTTTCTCACAATGGGATGTCTGAGATGCTGTCACTGTAGATGTGCAATTATCTGTGGAGGACTCTCGAAGACTTTTCTTTAAACGAGGCCTTGGAACTGGATTAGTTGTTTGCTTGGCTGGTTCTATCTGTCCTCCTCCAAGTATGTCTTCTGCCACTTTGGATGAGATGCTGGATGCATCAATGGATGTGTTACCAACTGGCTGCTTAGGTTCCTTCATATCCCCCAGTGTTGTGTTGTTGAACTGGATTGGTTGAACAAATTCTTCATCTGAAACATTTAAATCCTGAGCAGCAGTTTCTTTGTCATCGTTAGATCTGTCAGCTTTCCTTGCTTGTTTTGGAAGATGTCTCTTCTTGAAGACTGAAAGAGAGGAAGTGTGCTCATCGTGTTTTATTTCTTTAGTTTCCAAAGGTGGAATTGTATGAAGAAGAGTAGGATTGGTGGTTGACTCTATAGGAATCTCACAAGTAGCATCCTTCATTTCGATTTGAACTGAAATAACTTCAGAGATGGGCATAAGAGAAAAATGATCCAGTTTTTGGTCTGATGTTAAACTATCTTTCTTTCTGCATGGTCTTATTGGAGCAGCATGTTTCTCTTGATCACACTCTCCTGGCTCAGGTTGACCATTTCTTTTTGGCCTCCTGTCTGGCTGAGAACCAGCAACGCCAGCTTGTTCTATTGCACAGTTCTCTTGATCATCTAAAGACCTATGCAAATGTACATTCAATGGTGCTTCCCTGTGTTTGATGGTATCTGGAAGTGATTCATTTGATGTAGGCTGAAGAGAAGTTGCAGATAGATCTTTCAATCTTGTTTGTTCTGGGCTTAAGGAAAAAAGAAAACACACTTCAGAATCAGTTGCTCTGTCATGCATGGGTAGCATGCATCCTTTGTGCGATTACGATACACCAAAATTTTGATGGAATGCAAAAAAATAGTTTTTGATAATACATCACACTGTTTATTTGTTTGCTTTGCAGAGACAACTATTTAAATGATACAGTAGCTTATAAAGGAGACAAAGACCTAAGTTTCTCCTGTCTTTGATCAACCAAATTTCTACATGGTTTAAAAAGCCCTAGAAAACAGGTGTCAACAAAATAAAAGGAAATGTCCACACCATGCAACCAGAATGTCTCCAAGCACTCACCCTTGCTCTGGTTGTGAGGAAGACAACATTCTGTTTATGTGTTCCTGTTTTAAACCAGCCAGATGACTTGCTTTCAAGCTTTCCAGGCACACTGAAGTATATACAAAGTCCTGCCCCATCGACAATGTCTCTTTTCTATGTTGTTGCCCAGGAGAAGCCTCTTGTTGCTTTACTTGTTCATCATCTTTTAATATTTCCCTTGTGTCTGTCTGAGACAATGGTAGCTGTTTCTTCATACTTGAAACAAAAAGCTTGTCATCACTGTCAGTACTTGACAATGAAAAGACTGACTGGTCATCCATTAAGTCCCACATGTAAGACTCAACACTTGTTGAATATTCAGCATCATGTTTCATTTGAACATTCTCAAACTTCACCTCTACTTTCTGTGGAAGGGTACTACTATTAGTAAAATGTTGATTAAACCCATTCGAAGGACTCATTCTTTCTTTTTGATGCACAGAAGATGAAGTGACTTGATGATCGACCTCAGCTAAAGCAGAATTAGATGGCCCCAGAACAGATGCCACAGTTTCATAACTGTAAAAAATAAATGGGTAAGGAGTAATGAACATGAATGTAATTATAAAAATGATAAAATGATTCTAAATAAATTTCCATGCCAATGTAGTCCAGTTTTTACTATCTCAAATCTTACTTTTCGCATTCAAAACTAGAAGGAAAATCTAGTATTACAGTTCACATTTAAAATTACTAGTAATAAACAATGTTGCATGTGTGAGTTGTAGTTTCAGACCAGTCATAAACTTACCCCTTATGAAAAACATCAACAATAGCTTTTACTAATCCAGATGTTTCTTCTGTCTTTGCTGACAGAAAATGCTTTTCTTGTTTTTCTGATAGTGTTTTCTCTGCCTCCAGTATCTCCCATCCAAAGACTCCCACCGTCCCTGATGTATRCAATGATTTCTTCACTGTCTCGACTTCCTTCATTTTTATTTTCTCTATTTGAGATTTCCTGAGGATCCAAATGTAGACACTTTTAAGCTGTGTTTCAATAAGCGTATGTGGAATTTAAAAAAATTATTAACAAAATATGGCTTTTACTAAGACCCCCTTCACACTGGATAAGGGCTGTGCTACATTTTAAAAAAATCTGCCAGAATGTCTTAACGTGCAATAAAAACACAGAGCAGTTAGAAACCATTATGGTTTTGAGCATGCACAAAGCTCTTACACCCAGGACATGGTGTTTTATTGTCTTGGTGCCAGCAAATGCATGATGTGGAGTGCCTATGCACTAGAGTTGCTTGGTCATTGACAATTTGACGTTTGCTATCTTTTACAATGTACTTTTAACTTATTTTTGAGAAGAGAGGTTGTTGTGAATTTTCATAAGAATATTTAAATGTGGTGGAAAAGAGTTATTTGTAAACTGAACTGTTGAGGCGAATTTGCAATTTCAAATTATTCAAATCACACCCTGTGCCTGCAGAAAGAAAAGAGGGTGTTTGATAATGAGGGGAATGAATGGGACTGCAGTACTGCCACACTGGCCTGGAAATTACTGCCTTAAAACATACAGTACTGTACATGGGTAGTTCACTCAATATGTATAGCTAATTTTGACTAAATCTCTTTGTGTATGGGCCAGGTAAAGAATTTTGGTACAGAGGCAGATAGCTATCATTAGCTAGCTAGCTTTGCTAACATCCCTTACACATAGCTTAGTTTTCTTTTTGTTTATTTTTCAAATGATAAAAGTTTAACGTAGTCCCCACCATCTCTGAGAGTYATGTTCTTCAGAGTTTACAAGTTGCTTTATGTTTTATTCTAGATGTTTTACAGATACATGCTTTATGATTTATGTAGCTGAACTGTATTACTGAAGATTTTGTAGGCCTCTTTCGCTGAAAGGTAGTGGGGATAAGTGACAGCAGTACAAAAAGATCTAATTAGCAATGAGTCACATTTGGATAAGATAGTATGTTTTTCATCCAATGAAAGCAAGGATGTTAACTAAACTGGACAATATTCTGGCAATTTTGTGATATMTCCACATTTGTGGTCTTGACTGGTTTTGAAATAAAATACTGAGTCCTCATTGTCCGAGACTGAGTACAAATGTGGTCGAGTTCAAGACAAGACTGAGACCATCAAAAAGTTGTATTGAGACCAGTCTTGAGACTAACYCCATGCTCAAGTACTGCAACACTAGTGTGAGGGGGTCTTAACATGCTGAATTCACAGTCCTGTACCATGCACTGTACAGCTGGTCTTTCTCAATCCACACAATCTACTATTAGGCAAGCACCAAGCCCYTCTCAGAGCAAAACACACCAAAGCAATGGGCTCTCACTTACCCATTATCTAGATAAACATCTGTATTTGGTTGTGTATCATCTTTTTCTTCTGTCACAAAGCAAATATAGTATATGAAAATATATGAAAAGAAAAAAGCAACTGAAAATGTATTATTATGAATGTTGCCAGTGAACACTTTATAAATGACTCACCACATGTAAGCTCTGTGTGCTGGCTCCTAACAGAGGATGAAGAAATGCCACAAACACTTGCATCTTTGAGATCTGATTGTGCATGTGGTAGTTCTTGTAAAGCATGTCTCCCAGCAGAAACAGACAGTGGAATACAGACAGTATGCAATTTGTTTGATTGCAAATAACTTGGGAAACCAGGAATCTGTGACAGGCGTGGACATGATGAAGCCATTGCTACCATATACTTCTTTTCAGGCTGTTTAAGATATGGTTTTGAAGGAAAATTCGCAATAAAAAGGTTTTCTTTTAGCTGCTTCTCAAACAAGATCTTGTTATTTGTTGCCCAGGTTTGTTCCTGTGTACACTCAGAGCTATTCCTTCTTGCTGATGGGAATCCTGGGATATATGAAGTACATGGAAAGGAGGCGTATGAGCTGATCATGTCTAGTGATCTGTTTGATTTTTGAGCAAGTCCATATACTCTGGTCTTTTTTGGGCAGGATATCACTGAAGTCACCATACATTTTCTGTTGAAGTAATCCAGCTGCTTTGGTCCAGAAAGCGCAATCAAAATTGAATGTCTGACCTGAGTTCTCACATAAACTGGTTTTGTTTCATTAAACCATTCTGTGCATGAGACTGCCATCAAAGATGCAAATCCATTGATATGAGAAGCACTGGAACAGCAAGGTACAAAACTAACCATATCAGGTTCTAAACTGGATTTATGTTCAGGTCTGAAGGATGCTCTGATTCTGGAAGGCTCAAGGAAAGATGGTTCCAAGGCATTTACGGTCTTTGTTGTTTTGTCATCTTGGTTTAAAGTTTCTGTCAAATAAACTGTTGTCTTTGAAGTTTCATTATATGAGACAAGAGGTTTAGAAGGCAACTGAAATTTTGGTGCCCCTTCAAAGGAAGAATGTTCTGAACAAACAGCTGGCATCTTGAACTGACCAACAGATGGACAGCCTACAATCACAGACTCCCTTGGGCAAGTGGAAGTCAAAAGTGTCATGTATTTTGGTTTATCTAAGTAAACCAGTGAGGAATCAATACTGTGCTGAATAATCTTTTGTGGCCTGTACATCAGTGAACCCTGGTCAGAAGTCCATCTTTCTCCCTTTTGCCTTTCCAATGATGAAAGTCCTGGTGTAGCTGAAAAAATGGGGCACAGAGGAAGGAGGTTGACTATATTTGGTCCATAATACTCAATTTTGGGATGCGGAATAGTTGGGAAACCTTTAATACTTGATACTTTGGGACAGGATGGTACAAGAAATACTATTCCTTTCATTGTCATCTTACCTCTCTTATATTGGTCATTTAGTAATTTGTGCTTGCCTATCACTCTTGGCTCAAAGAGTGGCTTTTTGCTTGTTGTCCACCGTTTGGTAGAATGAAATGATGGAAATCCTGCTATCTGTGAAACTTCTGAACATGAGCTGGACAGACTCACCATACTTATTGTGCTAATATTATTCTTGGCTTTCGGAAAAGACGGAAAGCCAGGGATGAGTGATTGCCTCGGGCAAGTTGGTGCAAGAAAAACACCTTTTGCATCTTCCTGCATTTTATATTTCTGTAGTAGAAAAACAGTCTCTTTAACAACTTTTCCCCATAGTGGCTGATGAATGGGTTTCCAGTCTTTGCTGTCAGCTTTCTGTATTGATGGAAAGCCAATTATTGTAGAGACAGCTGGGCAAGATGGAAGAGCATTGATGCTACTGGACCTATTGTAAATTAGTGTGGGTGTCAAGGCAGATGGAAATCCAGATGTACAAGCTTGTTTAGGACAAGTTGGGGCTAAAAGTGTCATGATCCTCACTTCATAATCACAGAGTGGGTTTTCAATAACTGCATTTCTTTTTGGCTTTTTTATTATTGTGGGTTCATAATTTGTTGCCCAATTCTGGGTAAAATTATTTTGCACTAAGGATGGAATGCCTTCAATTGGTGAGGTCTTCGGATAAGAACTTAAAATTGCAATATTGTCTGATCTGTGGCATCCTACAGTGGGTTGTAGAACAGTCATTACACCTGGATTGTAAGAATCATTTGAGAAACTCTGTTTCGCAGGAATCTTTAGTTTAATTGTATTTTCCTCTTTTACTGACACTGCCATGACACAAAGTTCAGTTTCAATATTTTTAGCTAAAAGAAGTTCTTGAGGTGTGAATGGTTCATCTTCGTTTGTAATGTCTGAAACAGATGTCTCTTGTGGATTTTTAAAAAATTGAAAAATATTTAGGCACACTTGTGAAAGAGATGGAAAACCTGGACTCATAGCCTCCTTTGGACAAGATGGTGTGAGTAGAGCCATTTCATTTTGGTTTAGATGGTTTAGATCATCTTCTGGTGCATGTTTTGGTAACATGTCCATTTGCAACTGTTTCCTCCAAATTATTGTTTGTTCTTTTGGCCAGGGTTTTTCTTCATTTCCGGGTAATTTTGATGGCATTCCTGCAATGTTTGTAATTCTGGAACAGGTTTCCAGTAAAGTATGTTTGTTGTAAAATTCAAGCTGTGCATATTCAGAAACATGTTCTTCACCAGGGCAGGGACAGGCATTGCCTACCGTTTGCTTCACATGATCATGTAGTTGGACATCACACTCAGTGCTGAAGGTTTCATAATCCTCTGATTGTTTTTTTGAAGCATCTTCACCATCCAGAGAGGATTGAATTATTTGTTTTATAACAGTTGAAGAATCAAATGTGCCACTCACAGTTTGGAATGACGGCAACATGCCTACTAAGCCAGCTTCTTTTTCTGACTTCATTTTATTGTAATCATCATCATCATTGATGTGTAATATCATGAAAATACCAGATGATGGATCTGTACCAGCTGTTTCTTTTACCAGCTCAGTATCTAGTGCTTTTGTGGTTTCCTCTGTAGTTTCACAGTGAATTTCCTCCCAAACTAAAGGACTGCTTTCTGTTGTCACTTTAGGATCCAGTAACAGTTCAGTTCTTGCTGTGGGAGGATTTGGTAACTGATGCTCAGAAGTTGTATTTTGAGTTTGAGGTTGGAGGAGTTCTGTTGCGTCAGTGAGAATTGGGCACAGAGATTGTTGTAAAACCAAGTTGTTATTTCTGAAGAGAAGGTAGACATAAAATTAAAGTCAACATGTAGACACATGAAGTAAAACTGAAAATGATGCAAATCTGTATGTCACACCACAAAAGTCAACAATGTAATTTATTTTCAACACACATAAACCATACATCTAATACTATGTTAGTTGTGGCAGTGGCTTCCAAAGTTGGGGTTGGGACCCCACGGTGGGTCATAAAACATCAGATTAGGAATTGTAAGAAAACCTCCAGAAATCAAAAATAAAAAAAAAGCTAACTAGCAACATTTCAATCCAATTATTACTAAAGATAAGAACAATTATAAATGTGGGGAAAAAAGATTTATAGAAGTTTATCATATTTATGGCTTGTTTTATTGACTTATTTAGCAATGTTTGGGTTTTTCAAACAAAAAAGTCTGGGGTTGCAAAGCTTTTTTTTGTGTGTGTGTTGGTGGTGGGGTCAGTTGCCAAAATGTTTGGAAACTCCTGCTCTTGGGGGTAAAAGAGTGATTGCTAAACTTGTAGCATCAAAGCAAGCTCAACTTGCATGTCAGTAAAGGTAAAATCTCAAAAACGCATGAAGACATGCAAAATCCTCAAATTGCAAAACTAAAAATCTGTTCTTTAAATTAGTACACAAATTATTTTGTACAAAAATCAAATTAAGAAACTCTTAAAAGAACACAAATAATTTGGCACACTTTCACGTTTTGATACATCCTGATGTGTGTGGAACCTGGTGCATGTAAGTTGTTTATGTTTATTTTATTATTTGTTCTTAAGTTGTGCGTTCGAGTGATTTAGGAGAATTTGTGGCATTCACCAATGTTTTCGTATTCTAAGATTTTCTTCAGATACGAACAAAATTCATGTGTGGTCCAGACCTGTCATATTTGACGAACAGTCAGTCTGCTGTTATCCAGACGGGTTTTCTTTATTAATAACTTTATATTTCTTTAGTTTGAAGATATTTTGAGTTGAAAATAAATCACACTCCATAATTATGTTGACAATAGGCTATTCTGCTTGAATTAGAGTTAGAATTTTAAATGTAATAATTTAGACTAACAATARAAATTGTCCGGCCGGCCGGCTTATCCGCTATCAGGTGCGGCAGGGGGAGGGGGGCAGCAGGAGAAAGACCCCGCGCTCTCCGCAGCGACACTTTCCAGCTCGTCCTGGGGGACTCCGAGACGTTCCCAGACCAGAGGAGGTATACAATCCCTCCAGTAAGTCCTGGGTTTTCTCCAAAGTGCCAGACTTATTTTGAAAACATTTTAAAATGCTTATTTCAAACCCGCATCTGAGACCACCGCAGTGCGGGGGGGCACGGTGCGCAGCGCTGCGGCTTCTGAATAAATGAAAATGATTTAACACAGTTGTTTATACATTTAGCAGCTCTTTTTATCCCACAGCTGACCTGCTAAAAATGACAGATTTTCTTTTCTGGATCTCAGACAGACGGACTTCAATCTCTGAACGCATAAAGTTCTTTTACGTTTTCGCTGTAATTTTCATGAATGAATGGACACTTCCTTGTATCTGAGGCAGGAAACAGCCTTATATGGTGTTTTTGGGGTGGTAATTATGCTAATCTCCTCGCGTGCATGAGCAGCTGGATAGAACAGGTGTAATATACGCAGCTCATTTACGCACGTTTCCAGAAGATAGAAGAGTTTGTTGAATCTGARGTGACATGTTCGTACGAACCCTTTGTACGAACAAAAGTAAGAGAAATTTAGGATAAGAATACGAACATGTTCTTGCATGAGGCCCATTGTTTCAAATATAATATTAGGTCTTATTAAAGTTGTAGACAATATTTGTGATTCAGTCCAAGTTTTACTCCAAGCAAACAAATGGCCTCCAGTTACTGTAAGCTACGTTGTTCAAAATTATTTTAAAGCTCTTGTGCAGCTGTTGTACTGATGAATTGATTTGCATMTTTACCTCACAACATCTGGATTCTTCATATTGGCTCATTCTGTGAGGCGTTTACACACCCTGTAATTGGATTTGTTCCTGTTTTAGTGAACAGGTCCAAGTATAAGAAAGAGATGAATATCAGTAAAATTTTGACTCTGTTAGAGGTCAAGGTGATATAATAAGAGTTTAAAACCACTGACTCAGCTGTTTTAATCTAATTTAAATTTGTAAAAAGCCACCTGCAAGAAAATTCATGCAATTCATTAAAGCCATGCAACACACAGTAAATCACTACACCTGGAGCAAACAAACAAAAACAGCGTTTACTTCATTCACCCTCAAACTTACCCAGTCTCATCTCCATGTGTTTGACCAGGAGCAGAGCAAGACAATGAATCTAAAGTAAAAATATGATCTGGTTTCTCTGAGGACATGAACCCATGACTGTCCACTGTGAGTTTATTCCTCTCTGTTTCTGATACAACAGTACTTTTCTCTCCAGTAAGGTTTTGCCTCACAGGGCTGAAACAAGACAAAACAAGGAACAGATTTTAGAAATCAAGGAATAAATAAAAAAAAACCCAGGGCAGTTCACATATGACTTGTAAAACCTTTAACAACTAATGAGACAATCAGCTAATGTTGCAATGCAAATGTTTTGTTATGAAAAAGCAAAACATCACTGCATCACAGACCAAACAGGCTAACCCACCTTTCACTAACAGTCAACAATAATGGCATGTCAGGAACTGAGTGCCACATTCTGCAACGCATGTTTCTGAAAACAGAATTCAGAAGCAAATCAACGCTAACTCACTGCAATTAGAGCTTAAATTTTCCAACCAGCTGGATATTTCTGCACAGCAAATTTTCTCCATCTAAAAAGTGATAACATGTTTGAGTTTACTGTTTGAAAATTCATGATAACTTTTCACCACAATTATTTAATTATTTTTTTAAATAGCCAATGCACTTGGATCTTAGAGTACTCATTGTAAAGTATAGAATGAAAGTTCAAACGTTCATAATTCAGTGTGGCCGCAACAGAAGATTTTTAGATTTTCTTGCAAAAACATCTCCAAAAGTCATAGCCCAGAAAAATACCACCTTAACTGACTCTAGTTAAGAACAAGTTTTGTTCTTAACAGTTAACAATATTACCCTGCTATTATCCAAGGAAGACAACCTGCACTTCCAACAGAGCCACCCTGCCAAAAAGATCATCATGTAAATACATTTTAAACATCTGTAGTTTATCACACAAGATTAATCCTGTGCAGCGCAAGAGGCACCAAAGCCACATCATCACTCCCTTCGATATTTTTTCGATACAAAAAAGAGAAATGTCCCTGCCCTTTTTAACTTGTAATTTATTTAAATTAATTATGAACATTTATTTAACCTCAAAAGTCCAGTTTTTAAATTAAATGTTGCTGAAACAGCAAGTTTCTTGGTGGATCTGCACTCGACAATGCAGCCTAGGTGGAGTAGTCGAACACAGATCCACTGATCCTTCAACACAGAGCATCTTCAGAAGACAAGTAGATAAAATAAATTTCAAAAATCTGTATTGTTTGATATAAGTGTGTATTGAACAGTTCGATACAGGTACATGTATTGTTGTACCCATACTATTTAGACCTTTCACTATAAAATGTTCTCAGTCCAAACCATAAACTGTGCCAGGGTCGTAGTAAAAATAAAATCTGCAATCTGGTCCAAAAGTTCAGTTCATGTTTGTGTGTATTTAATAACAAACATCCTGTTAGAAAACAAAGCTGTATTATTTGGCTTCAGTAACAACAGAAAGTTGGACAAATTCTTGTTTCCTGGTTCACTAACTTCTAAATGAGCCAGCAGACCTGAAAACTCCAAACATCACCTCCTGCCAACTGCAGGAAAGCAGACACTGCAGATTCTACTTAAACAAAACAATACACACTTTAAATGTATTTATGTTTTTGTACTACTGACCAAATTTCCCACACTTTGTGAACTTTGCACTAAAATATTATTAAAAATATCACTTACTAACAGAACATGTGCATTGCTCAAATTATTATCAAACAGCTAAGTAGGCCCCACATGCTCCAATGACGTTCTTATCCTGAGTTCTTGTCCTTTTTGTTGCTTTGTTGTTTCTCCACACTCAGACATGCGTGGGACTTGGTACAATTAATAAAAACACTTTAAAGTAGGCAGAGCCAGTTGTGTAAATTCCTGTTTTTATTGCACTTACCCTGCTGATATATTTYTCTCATGTCCAACTGTTGCTGATGTTTTCCCCTCTGAATCCTGAGACACGTCTGTCTTGTGGTTGGCAGATGTTCTGGGGTCAAAGCCTAAACAAGGAAAAAGTAMATAGTCTTATATTTTTGTGTATGGACATGTAGCACTAGGGCGGGGCSATTATTTGATCGTGATTACTGATCAAGAACATTTTCAGGTTGATCACGATGATCAGCTGTGAGCCTCTTTACTCCATCTAACATGGCAGAAAGGTACGTGACAACAGCCAATCAGAATCCACCTTCTCTCGCTTCACTTTCATTTATAAGTTGCTAAGGAAATGCAGACAGAATTGCAGAATTGACCAAACAAAATGTAATCCAGTATAAAACGCTGAATCCCCCAGAATTAGCTTATTTGGACGAATTTCTGAAGTGTTTTTGGCAATGCCGCTCCCTATACCTGCCGTTACTGCTAACAGGCACACGGAGTGAGCTCTGAGCTGCCCTCCCAACACAGAGAGCAAAAAAGAAAAGTGAGGTGCGATGCGTGGCGAAACAGGTGAAGATCATCAGCTCCAAATCTGAGTCCATGGTCCTCAGTCGGAAAAGGCTGGATTGCTCTCTCCAAGTTGGGGGTGAGGTTCTGCCTCAAGTGGAGGAGTTCAACTATCTTGGGTTTTGTTCACGAGTGAGGGAAGAATGGTAGAAGGATCGGTGCAGCTTCTGCCCTTTTGTGGACTCTGCACTGTATGGAGCTACAGTAAATTGGGGTCATAAGGTCTGTTCAAAATAAAAAAAAAWTTGAAATTGAAAAAGGAGATTTGAAACTGAAATATAACTTGAAACTGAAACAATTTTGAAACTGACAATATATATATTTGAAACTGCTCAGACAACTTTCAAACTTTATTCAGCTGTTCTCTGCTGCGATTAACATTTCCTGAAACTATTGTGTGTTTTTATTTCTGTTTGACACGGTAGAGGGGAATTTATTATTTAATCTTAGACAACCAAAATCCTTCTGTTGTCTAGGAGGAGTGAGAGTGACATCCATGAATCGCTGGAGCTCCGCATGGCCAGCTATCAACCTGTCCCCGCCTACAGGGCTTGATCTGCGGCCAAGTTTGGCCAAAACCCCCGTTGCTTCTTGGGCTTATATCTCAAAAATTACCGAACGGATTTCTATGAAACGTTCAGGGAATGTTTATTACACTTCCACGAAATGTTCAATACACCACAGAGAACAGAAGATTAAAGTTAAAATCATTTCAGAGTGCGTGCACCGCTCTGATCTGATCCAAGAACCACTGGAGAAACTCCGAGCTACTGCTCTGAAGCGGTTTGAAGCCGCGCATGCGCTCGGGCTCTGAAATGTTTTAAAATGATTAATCTTCTGTTCTATGTGGTGTATTGAACATTTCTTGGAAATGTAATAAACATTCCCTGAACGTTTCATAGAAATCCGTTTGGTAATTTTTGAGATATAAGCCCAAGAAGCAACGGGGGGCATTTCAGCCAAATTTGGCCGCAGATCAAGCCCTGTAGGCGGGGACAGGTTAATAGCTGGCCYTGCGGAGCTCCAGRGATTCCTGGATGTCACTCTCACTCCTCCTAGACAACAGAAGGARTTTGGTTGTCTAAGATTAAATAATAWTTTCCCCTCTCCCYRGTCAAACAGAAATAAAAACACACAATAGTTTCAGGAAATGTTAWTCGTAACAGAGAACAGCTGAATAAAGTTTGAAACACGTCTGAGCAGACCTGGAAAACTCCSCTSTCTGTCTGTTAGCAGCAARGTCTGGAGRGAGCCCTGGCTACAGCTTAGATCTCCATGCCGCAGATCAAGTGCCTCCCCCGGTCAAAGCGAGTCYGGCAGACCGCCTGGGCTCCACGTCCAGGYGYAYAAGCCAAACCCARTTAAGCCTGAATGCATATTATCAGGRATACAGATGATAAGTGCCTTCCAACCTACTAGGAGGTAAAGGAAGGACAGTCTGCAGACATTTTAGAACTGATAACCTCTAATAACAGGCATTTATTGGACTGACAACATTCCACTCATAGCTGGTGGTTCCTGAATGCAACACCTTGTCCAGCTCGTGTTGAGCTGTCAATCATGATTCTGCACCGCCTGTCATCCGAGGCCCCGCCCCCCACGTTAAATCGGGGTCATAACTCTGAAACTGAAAATAAAAAGTTTGAAACTGAAAAAATAATTTGAAACTGAAAAAATTTTTCAAACTGAAAAGACAAGATGTTTGAAACTTTTCCAGATTGTAATGCACTGTTTTTCAGTTTCAAATATTTTTTCAGTTTAAAATATATGTTTTTTTCAATTTCAAAACAATTTTTTCCAGTTTCAAATTTTTTTTCAGTTTCGAATCTCCTTTTTTCAGTTTCAATTTTTTTTATGTTGAACAAACCTTATGACCTCAGTTTAGCTCCATAGTACCGTACTGGTCTTTTGTGATAAAGAAGGAGCTGAGCTGTAAGGCAAAGCTCTCTGTTTACTGGTCGGTCAACATTTCTACCCTCACCTATGGCCACAATGTTTAGATAGTGACAAAAAAAAAAAACATCATGGCGGTCAAAATGAGTTTCTCTGCAGGGTAGCTGGACTCTCCCTTAGAGATAGGGTAAGAAGTTCAGTTCTCCAGGAGAGARTCAGAGAAGAGCTGCTGCTCCTCCACATCCAGAGGAACCAGTTAAGGTGGTTCTGGTTAGGATGCCTCCTGAATGCCTCCCTAGAGAGGTGCTTCAGGCATGTCTGACTCAGAGAAGAGCCCGAGGAAGACCCAGGACTACMTCTCTCAACTGGCCTGGCAACATCTTGGAATCCTCCCAGAAGAGATAGAAGAGATGGGGACAGAGAGGTGCAGGCTTCCCTGCTCAAACTGCTGCCCCCGCAACCCAACTTTYGATAAAGTGGAAGATGATGGATGGATGGATGGATGGATGGARGGATGGATGGARGGATGGARGGATGGATGGATGGATGTGTAGCYCTGTGTTGTGTTCTCACTCACTTGRAGGTGCCACACATGGGCTGTCCTCTTCACAAAGCGTGTCCAGCTGTCTCCTGAATTCTAAAAATGAAGCATAGCCAAGAGTTAACAAATCCCATTAAATCTGTGAAATCACTTGCTGCACTAGTTGTGTATTTTTARTCTGCACTAACGTAACTGAAGTGTTTTTATTTCTCTACCTGCATCCTGTCTATCAGGACAGAGAGCAGCTGTTTGGGATATATCTGCCTGTTGAGAAGGCCCAGAGGACAGAGTGCCAGAAAAAGAACCTAAAGGACTAAATGTGGAGTTCTCTACTGTCAGGGAGGCATCATAGGGTCCATCTCCCTGTCCRTTCTGATCCACAGTCTGAGCAGGAGGCAAAGAGGATGAAGCTGACAGGGAATATAAACAGGAGTTAAAAGAAAGTTGAAGGAACGAAGGAAAAAWCAAGTATGAAAGACATGTCAGAGTCAGAGCAAGTGGAGTAGTGAGGAGAGGAACTAGAGAAAGGGAGAAACTGACTGCCTGGTTCAGTATCAAACAATATCAAGTATCAGTATCAAGCACTAGAGGTGCTAAATGAAACCAATAGAAAAGTCCAGCATGAATCAAGCTGATATGTAGAAGTCTTTTTCTTTTCTTAAAATTTGAACAACCCTGCAGYAAAAGTCTCTCAACTCACCAATGATGACTGGATTTTCTCACATGCTGTGTGTGAGAGTATTTTATCCACGTACGTTAAAAATGCATGTAAAGTTGGTAAGAATTTACTGTGCAAGCTTTTTTTAAATTACATTACAAGTGTTTTCATGTGTGACTGTTTAAATATATACACCTTACCAAAACCTGGGATTTGTGTGCAAGGATACTGAACAAATACTTGGCCTCTCTGTGAATATTGTGGCCCTTGATGCCCCCTTACTTAAAAAACATCCTGGATCCGTCACTGGATGGGACACATATCAGATGCAGTGAGGGTGCAGTGTCTTGATGTGACTGATTAATCTGCTTCTTTATTTCTCTTATACTATGTCTATTAGGTAAGTGGGCTCTTTAAGAGATAAAAATGTGACTGAAATGTTCTGAACTGTGTTAATGTAAATATAATGAGGCTCAGATGTCTGAATYTCTTGTCATTATTAAATAAACATTAGCAGAGCTGCTGGTGTCCTGTTTGTTATTGATAGCCCTCTGTGTGGAGAGTGGGTCTTCACTATTATGTGGGGACCAATTTTGGCAGACACGCCTTCTTYTGGGGACCAACTGGTACTTATGMGGACCTAAGCCTRGTCCCCATGGAGGGAAATGCCACTGGTGGGTCAGGGGTTYGGGGTCGGACTAACGTGTAAATTGAGTTTAGGTTAGGTTTAYGGTCAGGTACCTGTGAGMTTAGGTTGCCAGAGGTTGGGGTTAGACTATAGAAATTAATGGAAGTCAATGGAATATCCCCAAAAGACAGCTGTACTAGACTGTGTGTGTYTTAATATAAAGTGCAGGTAACTGACCTCTGAACATAAAATGTTTTGAGAAATGCATTTCACCACCAAATGTAAACAGAGGCATCAGAGTATATGACATGCAGTCAAATCAGATTTGAACAGCTTCATAAAACAAATGTGATCGGGTCCAAAAGTCACCACCCAATTCTGATCAGTCAACGTTATTGTAAAAGTACACCAGTGATGAATCAACCAGGAGGAACGGGAGGAACATAAGCAAATCAAATGGTAATACAGGTTTGCAAAAAGTAAAAACCTAATCTGGGTGTTTAACACTGATGTACAGAGGGTGTTAACTGTTACATGTAGAGCAGCATTACATGTCATCTGTAATCCTTGTGTTTTCTGCAGCTCTGCCATTTGCCCAGGATAATAAGTAGCAACATGCTGAAACTTAGAAGAAAGAGCAGGCTGTGCTAGTGGAGCCTGGGACTTAGGAGGCCTCCATTCAGTCTGCCAGGATGCTGGAGGAAAAATAAAAACATGAAAAAATAACTTGGAAGCATTGAAGAAGAAGAAGAAACAGAGCATGAAAAAGACATTTCTATCCAAAGTTCTGCCTCTTTACCTCTCTCTGGGGCAGATGGGAGGCTGCTGGGTCTGGTAAGTGCAGAACCCAAGTCCCCCATAGAGAGGGGCCGAGCTTTGGGTGATCTGGCAGCAGCAGCTACATGTGAGGAAGATCTTAATGAAACTGAAGAAGAGGAGCAGAAGAAGGGGAAACAGGAAACTTGTTTCTCTGTATCTCAAGCAGCAGGAAAAGCTGACAAACAATGTTTTTATGTGTAATAAACATGATGTATTAGCTGTGGCTACTATATTTGGTCCATATAATAATAAAAATTATCACCTGCTGTAGAGGCAGTGGGCAACAACGGCTGTGTCCAAATTCAGGAACTGGGTCCTCCGAAGGCAGAATTTATCAGCTGCTTGTGTCACAACACCGAGCCGGAGGCACCGACCCACAAATACATCCTCCCTTTTCCTTGATTTCAGGGATGAGTTCGATGGATCAGCCTATCCCATAATGCATTGCAGGCTGACCAGATATTTTTGTTTTTTTCGTAATGGCGGACAAAGCGAGAGAAAGGAGCGGGAATAAAGCAGAAGGCTAGACCGTCCAAATTCACAGCCAAATTTTTTAGGTCTTCACGACCAATCAAGAACCCAGCCCACCTAGACCGGATAGGCCGGGTCCTTCGAAGGACGCAGCTCCTGAATTTGGACAGAGCCAATGTTTTTGCTTATGTGCATGATGATAAATTCTCTCATAAATAACTGGATGGATTTTTATCAAAATCTCTGAAAAGTACTGTAAATGTTTGGATGTACGTCGACAAGAAATTAACTCCAGGAGGCTGCTGCTGCCATCTGACCTACAAAGAAACTTTACCTCAGTCAGATTTACAGATACTCAGATTAAATTTGTTGTGGTAGTAGTTGAGACTGACCCACAATACGTATTCCAAGCTACACGTATGTGCCTAAAATGTTAGCACTAAATGTTGGAGTCAACGCTGTCTGTTGGCAAAATATCTCATCAACCATTGAGACTTTCAGAAATTAATAACTCGCTACAACTGGTTAACTTTTGGAGTCAATTTTTTTGTAAGACTGCTACCACAGCTAATCAATATTAGCCTTCACAAAACCTAACTCAGTCAATTTGACAGATATTAAGCTGAAGAATAATGTGGTAGTAGCTGAGAGTCAATCACAACACATACTCTGAGCATGACATTTACATGCCTCATGTTACTTTTGAGGCTTGGCCAAAACATCTACAAATCTGCCTTCATCAACATAGGATGATCGTAGTCTCAAACTCTGGCAGGACAGGCGGTGGGTGATGTTAAATCTTTCAATAAATACTAAGTCTTTAAGGTTTGGTAGGATCTTTCTTGAGTTAATATCGGACATACAGAAAAGGCCTCCTGCCTTTGGCTTGTGCTGGTTGATTTTAATTAGGGATGTACCGATATGAAAACTTCAGCTGATATCGATATCCGATATAATTATTGCTGTTATGGCCGATAACCGAAATTTACTGATATTACACAAACACACAAATTATATTATTCACATACACACAAACACACTTGGGTCTTTTCTTGATACTTTAAATCAGATGTTCTCAAACTGGGGTCCCAGGACCCCCAGGGGTTGGCGAGAAGTATCTTGGGGGTCCTCAAAAATTTCACTAAATTGTTTATTTGGTTTTAATTTTTAAAAATGTATGGAGAACAATGAACTAATAAAATAAACATTATCAACTTAATAAAAATATGTATTCCTATGGCATTTAGGGATTGAAATGACAATGATTTATCTTTTAAAACAGCATGGGGTTTATGAGGGGGTCCCTGGAATTTTTTTCGCCCTTGTAAGGGATACCCAGACCCAAATGGCTTGAGAACCCCTGCTTTAAATAAACAACCAGACCTCTGACATGGCTCTACTTCAGTTATTCCTGGCTGCGCAGCGTCCTTATCACTATCATGATCAAACAGATACCACTAGACCAACCATATCCCCTCCCAAAGCAGAAACACAAAAATAAAGAGTGGGAAATCAATATTGGATGTTATCGGCCCAGTTTTACATATCGGACCYATACGATATTCTAAAAAATGACCAATATTGGCCGATATCGATATTAATGGCGATATATCATGCATCCCTAATTTTAATATCCATATTTAGGGTCCCAGAATTATTTACAGTTCTGGACTATGTAATTTAGGCCAGAGATTCTTAACCCATGGGTCGCAGCCGAATTGTGGGCCGTGAGCACCACCTTGAGGGCCTCAAAAGAACAACAGTTTTTAACTTTGGGCCTCAAAGGGCCGCAGGACTGCATTGATTTTGAATGAGGTGCAATACACTTTCTCACCACTAGTAGCAGTAGTGCGCCACTCAGATGTTTAACAATTTTTTAATACGTAGAAGAACCTTAGAAAACTGCCAAGAATGGAAACTTATTTTAAATGAAAAGTAGAAGGCAAAAACAAAGGTAACCTGTCAAAAAAAGTCAAAGTTTGTCACTAATATGAAGTGCAGCTTCTGTTTTTACCATGCTTTTAAAATATTGATTTTAAAAGTTCAAAACATTATCAAATACATTTGCAGATATTTTAATTTGCACTTCATCAAATTAATTTTTGTAGTTTATTTTTAAACATTTTGAATGTATTTTAAAGAAACTTTAAACTTGTCAAAAAGCTGTTGTTACTGTTATTGTTTGTCACTAATATGAAGAGCAGCTTCTGATTGCAAAAGTTTAAAAAGGCTATATTTTCATTTGCAATTTATCAAATTTATTTTACAGCTTTTGTATTTGAAACATTGAACATTTGAATGCATTACCTTTAAATGTTCAGATAAATTTTATAAAGAGAGAAAGCTGTTATAATCTAAAGGAAATAGAGATGTTCACGAAACCTAAATTTAGAACGTTTGAAAGAACAATGCACCTCAATTCAAGGAGTGAGACTGTGGAATAATTTAGAAGACAATGTTAAAAGTGCCACATCAATATACATATTTAAGAGAATGATAAAGACTGGACTGTTAAAAAAATGAAATGGTTTAATATGAAGACATTCACTTTGTTGTTCTAGAAAGTTTCAATGTTTTGTTTTGTTAACTGAAGACCCTTATAGTTTGAATCTATATTTGAGAAAAAAGGGGCAGATATTATCAATTTTTTTCTTCTCTCTGCCACCTTTCATTTCAATTTAATTGAATTTTCTTTTTTATTGTACATAGAATTTTTTTATGAAATGAATAAAGTTTATAACTAAAATTTTGAATGTATTTATTTTATGACCACAATTTTTTAGTCTATTTTTGTTATTGTTTATGTTTAAAATATATATATTTTTGTGTTGATAAGCTTGAGTGGCCTGCTGACTGTTGTGGGCAGGTTACAAAATAAAATAATGTTTGTCATAATCATGTCTTGTGGTTATTTGACCAGAGTTTTATTTTTAAACTGTAAATGTATTTAACTTAGTTATAATGCAAATATAATACACATTAAACCAAGATTTAGAATAATTTTCATTTTGATCCATACATTGGTAATGTCTGACTGGGCCTCGTGCCTCTTTATGTTCAACAAATTAGGCCCCGAGGTCAAAAAGGTTAAGAACCCCGATTTAGGCTATATAGTCACTCGTTTTAAGCATAGCATTAGATTACAAAATAAAACACAATAATAGCACCTCATTCCCAAAAATACAACCAGCCCCAGCTGAACAAACCTGAGTGAGACTTTTCAGTGGAAGCAGAAAAGTGGAGAGGATGATCACAGGATGATGCAGAGGTGGAGCGAGGTCGCTCTTTGGAAGGGTTGAGTGCAGAGAAAGGCTGGGCTTCCACAGCTTCAGCTACAAAGGCATCACTGTGGAAGTTATGAGGTTTTTGTGGAGCTAGATGCGTTGCAGTTTGTCCAGGAGGTGACAGAGAAGAGATGAAAAAGATAGAAAGAAAACCAAGCAGAAAAAAAAAAAAAAAAAAAAAAAATGACTGTAAGCAACAAAGAAAACAAGCAGACAGAAAGAATCAGCTCTTTTTTTTTTCCACATTTGTTTTGCCTTAAACCAGCTCAACATCTTCAGTTAATCCAGTCTAACCTGAAAAACTGCTCAGTAAAACTTTCTTGGGTTGAAACCATGGAAAACTTGATTAAACAGGATTTAGGGATGCCTCCCCTATCTCATGAAAACAACAAGCCTAGCTCCATCAGCGACCAAATATTAACCACAATACACACGATTAGGTTGTTCTTTGTGTATTATATATTGTTTTTTACCATAGATATATTACTATAAATGTAAAAGTGTAGAAAGCAAAAGGAGGATCTCACTGAGCCTTTTGGAGACGGGCTGGCAAAACAAATTCTCAAGTGTCCAAATGTCTCCAAACATAAGTTGTGGGTTAAACTGTTCCAAAAATTCAAGCTATAAATATTCTCTTAAAAACAGTCCCAGAATGGTCGCAGGCATTTGGAACCATTCTGTTTGTTGAGAGGGTCTCGAACCAATCTGAAGAGAAGACCTGTATTCTGACACCTCTGACAAACAACCACCCGAGGCTCAGGTCCAGGTCTAAAAGCCACTCCAGTGATAACTAACAGTTATTATAAACTGGTCTAGATTAGGATTCAGAAGTAAATCTCAGTGGTTGAGCATTATTGTGGAGGCTGCTCCCCGGTGGGGACAAAACAAACCAAGGAGGGCAAAGAAATGGCATGAAGAATGCAGATTTACAAGCTGTGAATACAAAGCGAGCCATGGTTTGTAAAAGTTGTGGTGTTTTACACTGGTTATAAACACTCAGAGCTGAGTGACATTACAACAGAAAGTTTACCTGACAGATACAGACAGGGGTGGGGCCAYAGGGCTGGCTCTGCCCCTGCTTTCAAGCAGTGAGACTTCAACAAAATATCAGTGGATATTTTACAAAAACTAAACCGGATCTGTAATTATTGGTCAGTTCAGTAATATGGCTGCCTTTTTTACAGTGCATTTAAACAAACTTTAACCTCCAGCTAATGTTTGTACTTTTGGATCCAATGGTAAGATGAAAAGTCCTCACACTGAATGTATTTTATTTTATATCTTGGTAAAATCAGCTCATTTGTGTAGTAATCACAGATTAAATGAAGCAAACCTTAGATCAAAAAAATCATGCTGAAATATATATACAGTGGGTAAAATAAGTATTGAACACGTCAACATTTTTCTTAGTAAATATATTACTAGAGGTGCTAAAGACATGAAATTTTCACCAGATGTCGGTAACAACCCAAGTGATCCATAAAGAAATCAAACCAGGGGAAGACATAAGGATATTTTTCAGGTTGTCCAGCAGACAACCTGTTCACAAAACCTAGTTGTCCAAATAAACATTTTGGTTGTCCAAAAGAATCTCAACAAAAATGTAATTTAACAAGTATATTGTTCTGTAGACAAAGTTTATTATATATAATTGTTCTCAGTCAGCCAGGTTGACAGGATCTGCGTGAATAAAACTTCCTCATTCTCTTCTTTGAAAAAGAGTATTTAAGGCTCAGGGAGTAAAGCAGCAAAAATGTTGCTAATAAAATCTAGAAGTTACCCAAAATTCATAAAATTCTTTCTGCTCATAGGTCAAACATTTTCACTTAAATAGGAGTGTACTGTGTACATGACCTTATTAAAAGTTACAGTTTAGTGTTCTGTTCGGCTTTAGTAAGTTTTCTCTCCCTTTCATTTTTACAAATGATGGACACCCACAGCAGAGAACTTTAATCAAGGTCTTTTTTTTGGGTTGTCCACCGGACAACCAGGAGACAGGATCTGGTTGTCCGAAATGAAAATAGGTTGTCTCGTACAACCTAAACAATGGTTATGTCTACCCCTGCAAACCGTAAATGTCCAGAAATGAAGTTATTTGTAATAATGTGGAATGGCACAGGGAAAAAGTATTGAACACATGAAGAAAGGGAGGTGTAAAAAGTCATGGAAAGCCAAGGCACCAGCTGAACTCTCTCAGTAATTAGAAAGCAAGCCTGCCCCTTGTCAGTGCAAATTAATATCAGCTGGTTCAGTCCCAAATGATGGCCAGATATCACACAAGAACCATCTGATGATGGGTAAAAGTAAAGAGCTCTCTCAAGACCTTCACAACCTTATTGTTGCAAAGCACAATGATGGCATCGGTTACAGAAGAATGTCTAAACTTCTGAAGGTTCCAGTGACCAGACTATATTCTCCCAGTATTACACAGGCTTGTCTAAATGTTGTGCAGCAAACTTTAAAGGAGCTTCAACATAGGCTGTGTCCAAAACGGCAGGCCGGGTCCTCCGAAGGCCGAATTTGTCGGCCGCATACGTCACAGC